AAAATTCCAGTTAATAATATAAATTGTTATACATTCTGCAAATGAAAATGGAGATTAAAATTAGATTACTAGAAGATTAAGAGTAGGGGCATAAGTTAATTTGATATTTCTTTCTCACCTAAAAGCTTTCTAGACACTCAGTGTTTTTAAAAAATATCCATTCATGTATTTTTTCCATATCATAAAACATATACTCTAAGTTCAATGCTGAGTGATTTAGAGAAACTCAAATAACTTGGACCACTTCCTATAAAACAACAAAAAATAAGGCACAGCCTACATTATATAGTGATATGGTAGCAAGAAGAATGACAAACCTGAATTTGGGGTAAATATTCATTTTAATTTTTTGGACAAATAATTTCAAATATAATTTTAAAAGACCAAATCAGCATTACAGATTCCAATTTAAAGAAAAGTTAAATGCAATAAAGCATTTTAGTAGTTTTATTTTAAAATGGTATGACACACTTGCTATTAACATAAAAGGCATCAAATGCCCTAAGAACTCATAACCTTAATAATTGCCCTTGAAAATATCAAAAAGCACATAATCAATGTCAAATTATTTTTTTTTTTGGCAAGAAAAATAAAATTAAAAGCACAATGAGAACCACAGGGCACAAACTCTAGATACACAATATAAAATAACTCATCTTTCTTATATGACATTTGTTTAGAGCCTGGCTAGGAAGCCTGAAGATGGCAGTGGAAAAATAGGAAGAGCTGTTCCTGAAATGCAGGAGAGTTACCCAAACTTAAAACAAAGAAATATGCTCCCTATAGTTCCCTGAAATAAAATAGAAAATCATGGTAAAAAAATTTCTAAATATGCCATACTCTTATGAGTCTGAAAGAGAAGTTAAAAAATAAACCAATAAACGTTTGTGGGAGGCTGAATGACCAAAACAGGTTTATAATAATTATGGCATCTCATTCTGAGGCTGATTCCAAATTCTTCATTCATGACCTGTGAAAGACTTCTCTTCTTAATGTCAACAGTAAGGCATGCCAAATTTCTATAATAAAACTTCTAACAATAGCTTTGGATATTAAAGCTGTGTAACTGTAAAATATAGTCTGAATGCACAGACTTGAGTGCTCATAAATCTTCGCACAAACATAAACCACAAATACACTCTTAAGTGTAAGCCACAGATTTTTGAAATCAGTTTTAGGTGTTTAAAATAACATCTTGCGTTTTACAGTGTCAATTCACTAGGCAAATTATTTCCCAGGACTTATAAACGTTGGAAGGAGATATCATAGAATATTATGAATCATAAAATGATATAGTTGAAAATCAGCCGAAAGTCAATGATATGTTAATTCTCTTTACTGGGAACTCTTTTTACACTAGAAAAGCCTGTGAGACTTCATTATAATCTTCTCATCATAATCATTCTTTATGTCCAATTCTGGGAAAGGTTAAACCCATTATAGAGAACAGTAAGTACTGGTAGTACTACATCTTGCTGTAATAGGTGAACTATTGGTAGAGGTTGTGAATCTTTTTTGTCAGGCCACATTTTGGTGGTGACATTAATTGCTGCAATGAAAGCTGACCTTCAGGTTGAAAATCATTCTCCTAAGAGATATATACATAGAGCACTTTTCAAAAAATTTAGACGATTAATCCAAGTAAAGTTTTACATGCACCTACCATTGCACATAAGAAAGATGAAGATCAAAATGTTCACATGCTTCTGCCTAGAAGTTTTGCTTGTTGGAAAGATGTAAAAAAAAAAAAAAAAGGTAGAGCCATTTGGGTTCAGACCTTTAATTCTTGATATTTAACTAGCATCGTGCTCAGTCACTCATTTAACTTTATCCTGGGGGACTGAGATAAAGGCACACATAAGTTTGGTAGTGCAGTCTCCTTTCAGAAGCTGTACCTTAAAGGGCATGTGCCAGCACTGCTCCAATTGGGTCTCTACAACAAATAAAGATGAGGGAGATGGACCCATATTTTAAGCAGACAGCAAAGCATGTGATATCAAGGCAAGTATCTTGATAGTACAGAATCAAGGGTTATAGCAGTCATGTGAGTAAAAGTACCCATGGCCTCCAAGAACTTGATGATTCCAAGCAGTCTTGCCTTCCTCTAAACCAGGCGTCCCCAAACTTTTTACACAGGGGGCCAGTTCACTGTCCCTCAGACCGTTGGAGAGCTGCCACATACTGTGCTCCTCTCACTGACCACCAATGAAAGAGGTGCCCCTTCCTGAAGTGCGGCGGGGGGCCGGATAAATGGCCTCAGGGGGCCACATGCAGCCCACGGGCCGGGCCATAGTTTAGGGATGCCTGCTCTAAACTATAAATCAGCTAAGTAGTGGGGAGCATGAAGAAAAGCTGTTCTTTATATGAGGGGCCAGTACATCACATTACGTGATCTACTTTAATAGCTCCCAGTGGGTGGAAAGGACACAGAGCACTGCAAAGAAAACTCTTTGCAAACTCTTTGTAACAGTTTAGGGTACCCTTAAAAGGATTGGCTTATTAAAGACATTAGAAGCCTTAAATCACCCATCAGCAGTGTGTAGATCCAAGTAATAAAGGAGAAAGGCAGCTTTCTTTCTGTAATTCACCCCATTGGACCACACTGCTGAAAGATGAACTGTCTTCTCACTGAGATTAGGAAGATGACTCTGCGTTTAGACTTCTAAAACCATGTAAATAAGCTAAAGACCCAGGACCACTGAAAATGTTTTTCTTCTCTAGGTCTAGCAATAAAAACTTTCATAGATAACAACCAGCACCACGTTGAAGAGACAAATGTAAGGTCATAAATCCCCATGAAGGATGCAAGACCAACACCATAGCTATTGTATGGCCAATACCTATAGAATGTATCACCTGGTCTTGCCAAAGTACCTCTAGAGCCAAAAACACTCCTCATCAGATTGGAAACAACAGTAAATAAAACACATGGCTTTTCTTTGCCTGTGTTACCATCATTTTAAGTTGAAGTAATCATCTTGAATTCAGGCACTGCCAGGATGGATAAGGGCTACATAAACCAAATACCCAGGGAAAAGTCGATTAAGGCAAGCATCTGAATAGTGTCACTACAGCCCAAAAGGAGTCATCCAGATGATTTTCTAAATCATATAATATATAGTAGTTTGCCCTCAGATAAGTAGAATCTTAAAAGATATGTGCTCTATATGTAAGCAGATTTAAATAATGTTAAAATATGTGTTTACTTACATTTCAATTTTAAATTTTAAAGAAAATTATAGAGTTCTCGAAAAAAAAGAAATATATTTTGACTTGTAAGGTCTTTTCCTTCCCCCTTGAATTTTTTTTTTCCAAAATGGCATTTTTCCAAATGCCATTAGATGTGTTGCCTCTAGATCACATCTACATTATTTGGTAGCTCTGCAAGATTCATTAAATGCTTCTGCATGAAAATCTTTATCATCAGTTGAAAAGACTTCCTAACACTTGATTCCCAAACTCCTCTTCCTTCATAAACTGAAAGTCGGCTCTACATTAATTCAATTTAGTCTGCCATTTGGCTAATTAATCCTGTTTCACCAATAAATAAAAACAAAACTTAGTTGATCTCACTTAGCTTCTATGAATAAACATGTAATTTTTTTAATGCCTTCCTTTTTTAACATACAGCTTAGACCTACTCACTCAGCAGAGTAGTAGATTGTTTCCTTCTTGTCTCCACGTCATCCAAAGTGGATTCTTAAGCAGGCTGGAGCTGGACGTAGAAACCCTCAGAATATAAAACTTATGCCACTGATAAGGCAGCCTCAACAAAAATAATGAAATCAGAGTCACAGTAAAACAAAGTTTGTTCAAAAAGCACAAAGAAACAGTAATAGAAAAGTCATATTTATCTCAATTCTTTTAGGCCATCAGCATTGCTCTATAGCAGAAGGCAATTAACTACCTCTAGCTTCCTCTGATGCCCATATGATTTCTCATTTTTACCTATTAATTCTTTCATATGCCCCTCCTCTCTTTTTTATTGTCTTCCAAGTCTCCCTTTTTTGTATTTCACCTCAACTCTTAGTTATATGCAGCATACCTCACTCATCAAATCAATCTCTGGCACCCATGAGAGCTCATCCACATAAATCTCTTGATTCACACATTTTGCTAGCCAAAGTCACCCATGTATTCCACAGTCGTCCACAACAACACAAATTTCAAACATTTGAAATAGCCTTTAAAAATCTACAAAGAAATCACTTTCTTAGACGATGACTACAGTGCCCATTGAATTGGTGTTTTTAATCTCTCTCTCCCCATTTTAATTTTTTTGGCTTTGGGCTTAAGGACTGCTGCTGTCATGAGGGAAGCAGTTGTTGCTTGGCCAGAGCAAGTGATACAGCCTGCTAGGCACAGTCCCCAAAAGTCTAGCTGCAATTTTACTGGTGGTTTTCCCCAAACAGCAATAATAAGATGTCACCTGGGAGCACACCAGAGCCAATCATGATTCAGGCCTGCCCAGATGTTTAGATGTCCGGAAATATATTTAAAATGTCTCATGGCTTGCCTCTTTGGTGTGAGAAACAGTGGACTTCAAGCGCACAAACAACTGGTATGATGGCAAAGTCACAAAAAATAAAATTTATATCAGTAACTAATTTGACTTCATTTTAAAAAAGAGCAGTGACCCTGGCTGCTATCTGGCACTAATACTGTAGTTTAAATTCACATTGGTCTTACAATGATTTACATAATTTTCCTTTATTAGAAAGTTTATCCGAATGACTTAATTGCCATTTTTGAATACAGGAATAATTTCAAACATAGCATTTTTTACAATTAAACAAAGCCCAACATCCTCAAACTTCAAAATATTCAAATTCAAAACTCCATATTTTAGTGTTTAGCCAAATAACAATAAGGATAATTTAGCAAGAAAATGGATAAGCACCATTGAGAATTAAATGTAAGCCTTATTATTGATTAGTGCTTAGTTCTTTTTCACAAAATAGATTAGCAATTGATCCTACTATGCGTAGAACCACCTAGTGTCCAAAGAGTAATATCACATATTTGTGTACTGGATCATTAGAAATATTTTTCTATTGAAGTAGAAGTTCCTGACCATTACAGATCACATGGAGAACAAAATCACTCATTGGCTGTTGGTTTGTGAAATAAACTTTTCTTGCCAGGCAAATAAATTGCACTGTGAATTTTTTTTTTTTTTTTTTTTTTTTTTTTTTTTTTTTTTTTACAAATTAACTTTTTTTTCATACTATAAAATGCCAAGGCAGACTCTCAAGATATTCACAACCAGAATTAACTCTGTACGGCGAGTGCATCTTCCTCTACCAAGGACAGTTCCAGAGTGTTTTCATTCGTGCTGGTCTTCATCCTGAAGTTGAAAGAACCATAGAGTTTTGCAGACTCTTTGGAAGAGGCAAATCTGTTTCGACGATAGAGCTCCCCCTTCCACATGGACATCATTAGCAAGCAGGACAGTACGACACCCCCCAGTGTGAGGAGGCAGAGCCCTGCAATCACACAGCGGTCCAGGTGAGCCCCCAGCCTCGCGCTCTCCTTCTCCAGGCGCTCCATCTCCCGGGCTGCCACAGTGTTGGGGTCCACAGTCACTTCCCGGGGGACGATGTAAGAGATGATCACCAGCAGGATGCCAGTGACCAAGAACAAGATGGCGCTGATGAAACCGTAGTCTATTGACTTCCCTGAAGATGTAGCTTCGGAACTTGTATCGTCCTCCTCTTCAGATATCAAAGATATGGCAGCCTCTTGGGACCACTCATTTGGATTTTCCCAGCCAAGCTCCCCAGGGTGATCATGCCCTTTTACTGATGGCGAGCTCTGGTTCTGTGGCTCCAAGTTGATGTTTTTGTCCACATAGGTAAAAGAAGTTTCTAATTCCTGGCTGCAGCAGTTACAGACTTTCTGTTCCGCTGTTATTTGGTTGTTCCCCGAGTGGAGAGGTCCTGGTGGAAAGGCGTCTGGAAGAAGGGTACTGTTTTGCAGAGAGTAGGAAGGGGATGTTGGAGAAGGACTAAGTTTAGACCCTTCCATCTCAGTTGCTCTTGGGGTGGACTCACACTGTCTCTGACAGCAGAGAGCAGCTCTTGTGGCTGCTGTATCTGCCTGGTCACCAGGAAGCCCTCTTGAATTCCAGTCCCTGGCATCACAGAGGTCTGCCTGGTTGCTCTTCTTAGCAAGGGAGTAGAGCTCCATGAACGCTAGTCAGACATTCCCCAGCAGCTTCCGGAAAGTCTGCCAATAACAACAGAGTTAGATAAGAACCTAACAGAAGCTAAGGCTGTATTTCCAGGAGTGTTGCTCCTGAGAGCGCCATTTTCTTCACAGCTGGACCTGTTTAGCCCCTTTTCCACCTCAAACAGGAGAAAGAAGGGAGGGGATACCTAGTGGCAGGAAAGTGTTGGAAGGGCAAATGCTCTCACTTGTCATAGTGATCAACACTGAAAGACTTAGGTCAGGGTAGAAAAGGCGCATGGAGGAAATGGTGGTGTCTACTGAGAAAGGCAACTGCCATCACCAAGCCAAATTTATCCAAGGACTCACACATTCCTGCAAGAGGATCCCTCAAACGACAAGGCAGGTTTCCTGTAAAAAGACAAATGAGAAAGGCAAGAGCCCTTTTTAGTAGAGCTGCCAATTTTCTGGAAGACTTGGGGAAGCACAGACTTCTTAATTCAATTAGACTGTAAGTGTTTACACTCTCCCTAGTTCAGAACAGATTCTAATACAGATTAGCTTTAGAGCATCACCATAAGTGAATGACTATACACCCCTATCAGCTGGGAATGAACTCAGCGTTTTGATTCTGCAGATCTGAAGTAGATTTAAAAAAAAAAAAAAAAAGCCAGTTTAATCAGCCACCTCTGCTAACCTTACATGTCATACATTCAGTGACCCTAGTCACACAGCCCTTTATTTACAAGTCCACATGCTGCTTATTTGCTGTGCTTCTACTCAGCCCTATTCCCTCCTTCCCCCATGGAACACTGCTCCATGGAGGAGCATGTTCGGAACCCCAAAGCGTATAGGCAACAGACCTTACTGCAATTCCTGCAAAATACAATGGGCCAACTCACTGTTCCACACACACACCTGTCTGTTCCAGCTGCAAGATCTGTTACTCCCATTCCCTGGGTCTGTGCGGGTCTGTGTTCCTCCTTCTCTGCATGCTTTGCTAACACACATGCACAAGAAATTGACCATCCGGATAGTTTTACAAACCCAGTCTAGAAGTAAACTGAAAATAAAAGACAAATTATAAACCCACAGAGTAGGAGTTCTGTGGAGGCAAATAGGTGAGAAGCTATTTCCAAGGTTACCTCTGGAATTTTATAAACATGTCACTCTTCATCCCTCATTGCAGCAAGGGGCATTCCTGGAACAGAACTTTGGTTTGAGCAGAAAACCATCTGCCTATTTTTCTCTGCCTCTGCCGTCTTTCCAAGGCATAAAAATTCACTTTCCACTATCACTAAATATAGAGATTTTAACCAAAGGCTTTTATTTTACTTCCAAATCCAGGGTGATAATTGATTTAACCCAATGGCTTGAGGCTTCTTATGATTCAAAATCCACAGCTCCAAAGCTGGTAACAGCAGCACAGGCAAGGGTCACCTAAGGTCAACCTGGCAACTCAAAATATGGGAGAGGGAATCGACATGTTTTCTGCTCAACATGAGAATTTATTTAAAACAAAACAAAAAAAAGCAAAACACGTTTTTCTCCTATTATCAGAGTTTCTCTACAGTGAAGACAGCAAAAACCACCAAGGGCAAAAGAATCACTAGTAAACTAGAACAACCCCCCCACCCCCACCCCCAGCACTGAAGGATCCCTCAATGAATGAAGTGATGGTAACAGGCTTCATCAATTACCGAGAACTCGTCTCCCAGTTTTCTCGGGCATTAGGGGCTCTGATTAACCTTTGGCACAATTAAACTCATCATACTAGGCTACTTTGGATAAAATCAGCAGGGTTCTTTGAGAATTTCAATTTATAACAAAACAGGACAGCAATCCCCACTTAATTCCCTACAGCCGCCTCTACCTCTCTTTAAAGAAAAGCTACTCCCGCTTGTTCGCTTGTTGTATCGGAGGTACGCTAGCAGCACAGTCCTTTGCAGCTCCCTAATCCGGGGCTTCCATCCTCAGTGGAGAATGGATAATCCCAGGGGACCAGCTAAAGGCTCTTTTCTTCCGTCCTCTGCCTCTTTTTCCTCTGATCTGCTTAAAAGCCCAGTTAACGACAACGCGCCTTATAGCGAGGGGACAAGCACTTTGCTTCGGCCATCTGTCATCAATTAACAGCGTTAATATTTGCTTTAAACTGACACAGGCAAGGCTGGTCTCGGGGAGGCGATCTCTGGATGCGCCCCGAGCGCGCTGAGCCAGGACAGCGAGCGGCAAGCACCGGGCAGCGGTGACCCCCGCAAGCGCCGAGGGATCGGGAGCTCATTCCCGGTGAACTGGGTGCCCACCGAGGCACTCGAGATAGGGATGTGTCCGCGAAGCAGGACACCTTGGGCAGGGAGCGGGGATGTGCGCTCCAGCTCCGCTAGGCTCCAGGGCTCTCACTCTCGCACCCAAAAGCCTCCACCCCGTCCCATTCCCCGCCGCTCACCTACTTCGGCCGCCAGGTGCGGCTCGAGCTCAGCGCGCTCTCCCCGCAAGGCTCCCGGAGAAAGTCCCCCAATCACCAGCCGCCGCACTTGTAGCCTCGGCACGCCGCTGGGCTCCGCGGGGTGGGTAGCGCCCGCCGTGGCGGGCGGGGTGGGGCGGGGCGGGGCGGGGCGCTCCCGGAGCATCCCGGGAGTTGTAGGCCGGGGGCGGTCCCTATATCCCTCCCGTCTCTGTCTCCTCCCACGCCTTCTGGGTTTTACCCTTCCTGCAGATGAGTTCCCTCCCTTACTCCTTCCTGGCGCGTGAGAAGACAGCACTGGTTTCTAAGCTCGGAGTGGAGTTCCCTAGCCTCAGGTGTGGCCACAAGACTGTGAAAAGGAAAGTATATTTGGCTCCAAATGTGCCAGGTAATTTGCATATTTTGTCTTATTTAATAGTCAAAACAAATCTTCCAAGTATATTTTATTAATCTTCATTTTACGCCGTGGAAACAGGCTCAGAGAGGTTAAGTGCCTTATCCACAGTTACCAAGTTCTGAAATTGTATACAGGAGTCAGATTCTAAAGTCATTGCATTTCTCACAAAATTAGAAGAAATGTGAGCATTGAGCGTAAGAGATTGTCCCGTGTGCCACCATATCCCTTGAACTTAGCACAGTGGTATTCGTTGAATGTATGAATAATAATGACTCAAAGTAACGGTTAACATAAATAGCGCTTATTATTGCGAGGCTCTCTTCTAAGTACTGCAAATACATTATCTCATGTAACGGTCACAATTTGTTGCTAAAGTTCTGTAAAAATAACAAAAAAAAATCCTCATTTTAACAGAAGAGGAAACTGAGTTACAAAGGAGTAGAATAATTTGCCCAATGTCACACAACTAATACTTAGCCGAGGTGGGGGCATAAACACCAACAGGTTCTAAGCATTATATTGTGTGGAATGAATGGAAGAAACACCAGAAGACTAGAATAAAAAGGGTCAGGAATAAAGGAAATCTGAAGGTTGAAACTCCTGAGTTGTGACTCTCAGGATAGGACAAGGTAATCTTGTTACCAACCTCTTTCAACCAGAGTGGAATGCAACAGCCAACAGCCACTGAAAGCCCAGGGTATGCGTAGCTTGTAGATAATCTCCAGCTTTCCAGCATCCCGTTGGGACAATTCTAGGGGAGCAAAAATGGATTACATTATGTATGACGTTTTGCTTGTAGCTCACATAAATACTGTGGTTGCTTGCTTTCAAAAGATAGATCGATCTCCTGTAGTGACAATTATGTTGGTATTTCTTTACATAGGGTAGAATCTATAGTCTCATGAATACAGCAGTTCACAATCCTGCCGCTTTAAAATCCTTTTCCCCCCATATAATTATGTTTTAGCCAGTGAGGCCCATTTGTTGATAAACATGATAGATGTATTATCACTTCTTTTTCTTTGCTTACTACACGGGTCTCCAGCATGAATATCTTTCTTCCATTGCCCTATTCCATCCACTCTTTGAGGACTAGTTTATCAAGCCAAATCTACAGGGATGCATCCAGTTCTTAGTACTTCATATTCAAAAGGAAATAAAGAAACCAACTAAGATGATGAAGGAACTTGAATTTACGTTGATGAGGAGATGCTGAAGGTACTTAGGCTATTTAGCTGTAGGAGAGTACTTAGAGGAAGCAATAAATAGTTAAACTTTAAATATTCTAAAGTTTATATAAAAGTAAAAGAGGGATTCTATAGCATTTTTAAGAGGGTAAAGGCAAAACTAATGACAATATTACTATTTTTTAGTGCTATTATGTTATCATCTTTAATTTTTACACCAACTTCACAAGGGAGGCAGTAATATTGCACCCACTTTGCAGTGTAGAAATTGAGGTTTAAAAAGATGCAGTTTCTTTCCCAAGGTCTGAAAAACAGTATCTGGCAGAGCCAAGGTTCTAACTTGGGTCTGTGTGATTCCAGAGACTTATCTCTTCACCAACACACTATACTGAGAAATGCTTCACAATCTTCTTTAAAGTGGAGTATACGTAACAGGTGATACTATTTATGGCACTGTGATTAAACACAAGAGGTTTCTCCTGGTCATGATTCTGGGGCTGTGGGTACTTCAGTCTCTGCAGGATATCTTGGAGGGCCAGGGAAATAAGTAAGTAAACACACCTGGTGCCAGGGCACCAATCTGAGAAGCTCTGGATAGCACTATTAAATTTAAGAAGGAGGCTGATTTGAAGCTTAGTATAAGGAAGGACTTATTTCTAAAACTTCTAAAATTGATGTCTCATGAAAGCAAATTCTCTGTTACTGGTCAAGATTAAAAAAAGAGAGAAAGAGCCATTTATTAGTGATGTCATAGAAAGAATTCATCTAGTTGGATTAGAGGATCTCTGTGGTTCCCATGCTGAAGTGATTCTAAGTTATATTTCTTTCGTGAAGCCTTTTTCTTCCAAGGATTCCACCTCCTGTGAAATTTGCTGGGACTTGTCAGCACTGATGTTTTTGATATTTATCATCCACTGTTTTGCAACATTTCTTGAGTGGCTAGGTATTCACTGCATGCAGCTTAACTTCTAGCTTAGGTGCCTAAATCTTAATGGTAATTAGTTGTAAACTCCTTAAGGTCAGCCTCTACATACTGAACACCTTACCTCCTACAGTATTTCTGCTAAGAGGGAAGATGACAAGACTGAACTGAGACTCGAGCTGATTACCTATCCATTATTCTCTCTCATTTCCTATTTCTAAATATAATAATACTTGATTGTCTACATATTCTTGAGCATTAAAAATATATCAGTTCCATGCCAACACTACAAAATCACCTTTAAAAGTCTGCTGACAAAAAAATAGAGATGAATCAATTGAGTACTTGGAAAGACAAGCTCTGCAAGAATTGCCACTTGCTGGAATACTTTCCTCCTCTCTCTTGTAAATTTGTGTCTAAAACTCTCCTGAAAATTGACCCAAGAATGTTTTTCGAAAGCCTTTCTTATTCAACATCCTCAACTTATTGTTACCTCTCTAATTGGCTTTCTAGTAGCATAATACACTTTCTTTTATGCTGTCATTTTAGATATAGAAAAGTATTTCATGAATATTTTATACTGCTTTCAATGTGATCTCTCTTTCCAGATAAAATTTAAGCTCTTTGAGAACCAAGATATTCTATCACTTTAAATCTGTATGTGGGTATGAAATAGTGCAATGCACAGGCAACAGTAGTTCCTTAATATATGCTGATAAAACACTTCTTAGAAATCTACATAATGATTTTGGTCTTAGGCTAATTTTAATGTTTTACATTTTCACATTTTCCTGTTTACTTATACTCTGTTTCATGTGGGAGGAGCTATCGTTATTATACTGTTGACCAGTAGAAAAATAAGAAAAATTCTGGGAAGTAAATTTACCATGTAAATCAAGGGTAGTGCCGAGAATTTTAACAACCAGCCTCTTATAATAATTACCGAGGATGTTTCCAGTTTCTTTTTTTTCAATAGTAATAAGGGCTGATTAGTTGACTTAGAGTTATTATCAGGAGAAGCTGTGTCCTAGAGAGGTAAGAAAACCATTTTTGGAATAGGCTGGAGAGAAGATCAGTCACTGAATAGGAGTAGCATAAGGAATATGGTCCTGTACCCCATGCTGGTGCTAAGAAAAGAATGAATGTGACCATAATTTAGAGAATGAAGATCTTGTTAATGAACAAGATTCTAGGAACAAAAAAGTATCGTATTAAATTTGAAAGGTTTCCACTTAATAAGAATGCTTACAGTGGCCAAGCCGGCATGTTACTTAAATAAAGTGTCTGAATATAGACCATAGGGATGGGGGAAGATCACCCAAGTTAAGAGCAAGTTCTTTTCCCAAAAGGTCAGTATCCCCTAATTGTTCTACCTGAGTTTTGTCTTAAGTGAATTTAGACATTAATAGAAGTCAGATATCAGAATTTTTAATTCAAAATTTAATATATTTTAAATCCTTAATGGGTCGGAGAAAACAAATTTATTGGAAAGATGTTTCCAGTAGTAAGAGATGGTAATTTAGACCTATCTGCTGCTGAGGATAAGTAGAAAATCTTGACAAAATATGTAAAAGTCACTTGATTGAAGGCATAAAAACTTAACAAGACAGAAAAAAATTACTGCATTAGGATATAGAGAAGGAGAGTATCTCAGAAAGGCAAGTCAGGAGCTTGGAACTTTTTTTTAGTTGGGGATGTTACATGATCCAGAGAGGGCAATTTAGAGGCAAAGAGGCTAAGAAGAGTGGGCATTAGGGTCCTGAACCCACCAAAGAAATTAGCCATAGTGAATCTGCTCCACTCCCTAAACCTTGGGTTGGAATCTTGAAAGGTTGCATCTCAGCAGTGTAAAGCAGGCCCTCAGAGGGCATGCATCTCAGTTTATGAATATCTCAATTTCTAATATTTAACCAGTGTGACTTCAGAGTGCTAACATACCAGATACCTGGATGAAGAAAGTAGACTCAGTCTCGGAAAACGTACAGCATCATCTCAAACCAATTTTACCAATAATTTTGCAAATACACTGATACAATTTAAAAAGACATGAAAAAAGGCAATTTATAAACATCACTTATTGTATTTTGATTCCCTGTAAATAGAACATTTTCAAAATGACAAAATTATAGAGTTGGAGAACAGATTAGTGGTTGCCAGGGGTTAGAGATTGTAGGAAGTAAGAGGGTGGGTATGGCTATAAAGGGTTACCATGAGGGAGATTTTTTGTAGTGATGGAAAAGTTCTGTATCTTGAATGAAAAATGCACAAGGAGTATCTATAAGGCCAATATGTATATAGAAAGAAACACAGAATAATCAGTTGTAGGAGAAATGTAATTTAAACCACAGTAAAATAGCACATCACATGCACTAGAATGGATGAAGTGGCAAAATAATTGGCAATGTCAAGTTTTGGTAAGGCATAGAGTTACTAGAATTTTATATACTGGTGGTGGGAATGTAAATTGGTATAATCACTTTGGAACGTTTTTTTGCATTAACCACGAAAGTTAACTATCATGCAGCAATTCTACTCCTAGATGTACACTCTACAAAAATGCACACATGGGTACCAAGACATGTGCAAGAA